ACACGAAATCATAATTTTAAATCCAAAACATAAAAACAAAAAAAAATTAGACTGTCCAATGTAATTTATCACCTTCATTTTAATTTTAATTAGACTAAATTATTTTTTTTATATTTTTTATTTTCTTAATTAATAAATAATTTTTTTCTTGATAAAAATAAAAAAAACACTTTCATGACTGTTTTTTGTTTTCGTTGTTGTTGTGGTCGCTGTGATTGAATGAATATTTATTTATTTATTGGGGGGGGGGGTTAATTGTAGAATTTTGTCACGAACTAATCAAGAAGCACATTGAGCTGCTATTTCATTGTAGTTTAGAACTTCATATTTCTGGTTTTCTCTTTATCCCAAAATCCAGTCTAGTTAGCAACAATAACTATACTGAAAGTAATAATAATAATAGTAATGGTGACAATAAGGATAAGATAAATAAGTTATGATTAGCAATGAAATACATGATCAGTGTTTTTGTTTAATTTAGGACTCATCAGTTGGATGTACTGATGCATCGTGCTCGTTCGGCGAGGTATCCAATTCTGTAGCGTCGTGCTCGTACGGCGAGGTATCCAATTCTGTTGTCGGCGTAAATCTGATTCTGTCTATACTCGTATATAATAAATGACTTTATTCCGCGTTGGTGAACAACGGAGTTAAATAAGTCAAATACGAGAATGGAATTAGAATACATATATTTTCTACAGTCATTGATTTGGCCAGAGAATCAGAGTGATGAAGCAAATAGATGAGAGCGGAACGAAACAAAAATGATGCGCAATGGATGTTGGCTGGGATGCCAACTCGATTTAAGCAAGCGTTAATCAACATTTATAGTCAGATAAAAATGAGTGACAGACATATGATGAATAAGATACGAAGTGTACACATATATGCTCATATAAAAGTATAGTCAATGTTAATAAGCAAATGATTAACATGATCAAAATATGACTCACAATGGATAGGCGAATTGGCTTGGCCAGCAACTAGAATAAAGTATATGGGCTTAACATATAAACTGATACTACAGTACTTTCATTTAAGTGATAATGTCTATACTGACATGTAAATTTAATACATTACATTTTTAACAATGATGTGTTATACACTTGGCTAGTGAGTTCAAATAGCCATTCACGTATGTAATGTTGTGGTGTAGGTTACTTATATCCACATAAGTAGTATATATGATGATGGTCAGGCATAGAATGTATTTCGTCAAAAGATCAATAAGGAAAGAACGGGAACGAAGCGCATTCGGTATGAAAATGTATGAACGATAAAAATCGAAGACGATGAACTGATTTTTGTAGAAGGAACGGTCAAGATTGAGACAATTGATTTGTATTTTGCAAATTAACTGTTTACTGTATGGTTATCAGATTTTAAGGAGGTATACTGTAATGTTGTGTTCAAATACATTCGATTGTTCCCAATTGTCTTCTTCTTCACTACAATGAGAATAGTATTCCTATTAATTTTTAAGTAAGAGTATGAATTAACCCGTTATTCATATTCATGAATTGATTTTGATTAGTCTATTTTTCTAGTATAGCCATTACATCACGAGTTTCAATGAGTAAATAAACTTTGTCTATTACTGGAATCCAGTCCTAGGTTCCACTGGTAGCCACGATTCATCCATTTGATAAATTATTTGTCAAACTAGCTCTACCGTGGTAATCCGTACAAGTTGCTGATTAAAACTCAATAATTCACACCGTTACTAATTATGAAGTACTATCAATAATAATAAAAAGGATAATAACAAAAAAATTTGTCCAGGTGAATAGACACAGTTGACATATATGATTTTATTTGTTAATAATTTTGTGGTGTATGCTACTTCTGTTGACAGATATAAGTAGTATATAACACCAATTGGAAATGGAATGCATGCCTACAGAAGATTGAGAAGATCGAGTTTATTAGAATAGGAATATAAAAAGAGGGTAATTATAATAACAACAAAACTGACAAAATCATGAAGCATGTAAAGGAAAACAAACAGGAAGATGTATAAACAATGTATTTCATGTATAGCTTTAAAATTTTTCGAAGATACCCTATAATTTCGCATTTGGTCGGCGAGACTACAATTTATAGACGACGTTTGAACGAATCTCGAGTGACCTTGAGGAATGTTGGCCAATCAATAAACAGTCAGCATAGAGTGAAAATATATTATACAGATCAAATGTTACTGGTGCTTTTATTATACAGTTAGCGGCAATTATTATTATATGCCTTAGTCTCAATCAGGATCGAGCGATAAATGTTCTTATTCTAGCAAACGTCTTCCTTCAACATATATTACATCGAGGGACAGCATCACGGTAGTCTGCACAAGGTTTACAAGTCATTTAATACTTGTAATTACAAATACAGCAACTTCTTAGTAGTTTCATTTGTTATAGCAGCTTAATTGTCAAGTCGTCTCCGAAATTCTCTGTGAACCGACCGTACATGAGCATCAGGTACTGAAATGGGCACAGTGACCTTGAAATCCCTCAAACGCTTCTGATTGGCTCGTCCATAAATTATAGTCTCTCCATTTGGTCTTCTCTACCTCAGTTCTCGTTCACTACATTGTGAATTACAGTTATTTGAAATATTACTTTGCTATGTATATGAATATTGACAGCTGAGATCAACATCCGTCGTACTTAGTCAACGTAGTAAAATAGAGGACTGCCATTAAAATGCTTTTATTGTAAGTCTTATAGTTACTGCAAAAATCAGGCATAAATCATTGGTTACATCGTTTAGTTAAGTTATTCATTACAAATATGCTTTAGAATCATACTATAAATATAGAGTTTGTAACACTCTCTGTCCGTAATTAGACAACCACTAAAAACCAATAAGTACTGGATAGCTATGTAGAACTCTTTAAAAGAACATATTCATGACCCTACAATGAACTTTTGAGTTACTCTGCAAACACTCTAACCTTAAACGAATAAGCCGTCAATCAATGGTGTACATTTATAAATAGTATAAGTAATAGGTTGTATTCTATTTATAATACAGTTTTATTCTAATGAGTAAATGAGATTGTCAACTAAAATAAAGTTGATTGAAAGCTTACGAATTCTCCAGTCAAGTAAAACTGATCTTTCAAATGAAATACGATGGATATTACTTACTATACGAAGGCCTGATGTATGATTATTTCTAATAAATTAATTAAGTGCCCAAATATGACTTATTGACTAATAGACTTGGTACCTGTCGATATGATTTCGGGAAGTCTAAAATCCGAATATCAACTCCAAATCTCTCAAAAAGGGGAGATGTTATACCCTGTGGAGATTTATGAATGGTAACACAAGGAAACCACTCAATAATCCTGTAGAACTGGATAGACTTTAAATTAAATCGGCAATAGCAGTTCACACCATTTTCAACAATCATCAAATTGATTTCAAAAATATCAAAATACTACAGAAAGGTTTTTGCAATTACAAAGAAAGGAGAGTAGCTGAAGCTTTCCATATAATGCTTAATCCCACTGCTCTTAATAGAAAGGAAGGCCTTACCATACATCCTACTTGGACTATCTATCCTAGTCTGATATTATTTACAATTCACACCACTACATTACAAATTAAACTGTATCCTTTTTCAGTATAAAGGTCACACATTTTTCATCATTAACAATGCATACGTACACATAAAATTACATACATGTCGCTTATGAATCACTTTGACCGAAATGAAATGACATGACGTTGATTTATTCAGACCTGTTTTTTGATTGATCACCCAATATTCGTGTTGTTCCGTTGTACTATTTAAACTTGAATTAATGTGAATTTTGTTATTTATTCTCTGAAGAAGTGGCTTACACTAAGTCACGAAACGTCAGAAAATCTAATTTGTCTACTCATTGGGTTGTTACAAATATATTGTTTTTATTTATAACAATCTACCCAATGCTCAATTTATTCAAAATTATCAAATCAAAACATGGTAATGATACCTACAACTTTGAGAACTGTTTATGGACCACTGTGATATGTACATTTCCTGTTGTATAATTGTTAATTAACTAAACTATTCGTATTCATGTTCCTCTTATTATAAGCTTTATTTTGACATATGAACTATTATTATACGATATAGCATTCTTGAATTATACCCAGTCTACTAATTACTGTTCCCCACATTCACAGCCACATTTGGCCAAATCTTGTACAAATGTTATTTTCTATTTTATGGTATGATGTGATCAGTTTGTTTGGTATATAAAGCCAGTATGTTTGAGAATAATGATTCATATTGTAGAGGTTGTTATTGGTGTTCTAAACTTAACTAGCTGGGCTAGGCAGAAAGCGGGACTGATAAGTACTCAAGACTGCTCAAACAGCTTTTGTGTATTATTGATCCGATCGATAAATCACTCCTATCTCTGATAGGCGGTCTCATAGCGTCATATATCAACTGGGCAATAAAGCACACAGTCTATATAACACAATTAGCGAAGGCATTTTCATTTTATGTGTCATATTAATTGTAAAATCTCGACATCCTCATCGTATTCGATCATTTTAGATGTAAGGGAGCATGGATGTCATCCATGTCTGGAGTGAGATGGTTGCTGATCAGTGACATGAAAGAACGGTCACTTGAAGTTAGAAATATAAACTAATGGATGCCAATTAAGTAATCTAATAGTTAAGAGCTCATTTCAAGACCTATGGGTCCTAGTTACGTTCGCTTATAGGGTCGTGGATGTTCACTATTCCATAGTACCGTACTATGACTCCTAGGTTTTTATCAGTTGTTTATTTAAAGTCAGGTCATTGATATGAACTACAAAATTCAATAATGATGTTAAGAAAAACATTTTAGGTTTTAAATCTGTGAAGAAAACTATCCCGAAAATTTGCAGCCATATATTCAAGTCAGAGGAATTCTGAAACTTCGAAAACGAGTTGAACATCAAAACTCTTCTCTTTCTTTTATCTTTCAAGTTCATTCTATACAAAACAAATAAGGCAATTTTCACAATTATTTATTATAATGTGTGTTTGTAAATATAAATATATGAATACATGTATTAATTTCTCAAGGCACCTATTCAGTAACTTCCCTTTAGGAATATATAAATGCACTATTTTTTTTGTAGCTGTGCCAAATTACAATGACAGTTTATTATTTCCCATGAACAAATACAATAATGACTGATAACCTAAATAGAGTAGACCAGTATAATTTCTTAAAATGAATATTTCATATCATACACATGAATTAAACATATCTTGGATAGTTGTTAAAGAATTTGTTGAATAATCTAAATGATGCATATATTCATTATGTTGATCATCATCTTTTTCATTACTGAAATGAAATAATGGACAATTATTATTTGTACAATATAATGAATCACTACTTATAATTGAATGAGTAGTATTAGTAGTAGTAGTAGTATGAATTGGATCAGTGTTACATATAGTTATGTTAGGACAATCATTTAAAGAATTTCTCATATTCATAGTTGTTGAATATGATATAGCTTCATGAATAGGAGGTGTTGGACTATTTCTTAAATTAATTAATTGGCATTGTGAACATATTTCTGATTCATAATTACTCATATAATCACAACATGAAAAGTTCGATGCTTTTTTAATGTTATCATGAATATGAATATCTCTTTCTTGATTTTCATGGTCAGTTATATTCATAACAGTAGAATTAACATTATTACTATTCGTAATATGATTTTCTGTTTCATAAAGTAATCTTTGGTTTGTAAATTTTGGTAAATTGGGTAGCTTATTAATATTTGGCAATGTACAATTACATTGTTTCTCTTTTATGTAACCATTATTTCTATTATTTCCTGGTAATAATTTGATATGACCATTTGATTGTATTGGAAACCTTCTTGTACATGGTGGTGTTAAAAATCGATGTGGAAATGGTGGTAAAGGAGGAGGAGGAGGAGGTGGTAGTTGATTTTGTTTATAAACAAAATTTCTTTTATTATTATAAAGAGATAATTGTGAATTTATAAGTTGACTAGTTGGTGATATATTTTTTGTATCAATTAAATGTAGATCATCAGTAGTATAAGCTAAAATATTTGGATGTGATTTAAATTGATAAAGATGTTGACGATCGCAGATTTCATAGTTTCCAGATGTAGACTTAAGTATAGAACTATTCATAAAGTATCCATTACTATTATTATTATCATTACTATGATCATTATCTAGTGGTTTTTTAAGGGGATAATTGTCAAAACATGGCATAGATGGTATAAAACTAACATTTTTTGGTATTCGTCTGGTAGGAATCGATTTTTCATGAAGATCTATATATAGAAGAAAGAGAAACTGTTTTAGTTTACCAGTGAAATGTTTAATATTAATTTGTGATATGACTTTGATTGGTCATGGATGAATGAAGTATACTAATATCCTAATTCAGTGACCTGATATGATAATGCTTATTGGCCTGTTCAGGGTACTTCATTATCGAAGTTGTAGTCGAGATCGTAGAAAAGGACATCGATATGTCCTTCATACATTGAAAGTAAACTTACAATGCAGATATATATAATTTACAGGAATCTGATTGGGGTATAAATAAGAAATGAAACAATGTATTTAATAGAAACTAAGGAAATTTGAACTGTTCGGTATTTTATAATAGTTTATTGATTATTTTAAATTTTTTTATTCAACGGTTACTTAATAGGTATATCGAAAAGTCTCACTTCTTCAAAAATATCAGATGTAGAGGTAATTTTATGGTACGGCGTAGAGTGGGAAGAGTCCGCTCTCCCTCTCCAAATGCTCTCACATGGCCACATCTATATAGCCTCTACCAAGGAAGTCCTACTAACTGCCTTCTCGTGGCGGAGGTGTTGTTTACGAAATTGAGAGGACGAAAACCGAATGTCCGGCGCTTTAACCGGGAGGATGGACACGGAAATTTCACCTATGGAGGGGAGTTGGAAAACCCTGATCCCAAACCAATGGTGCACATGAACTCCAGTATCCTGAGAGGACAAATGGCTTATGAACCAATTATTGGTCAACGGCTACCTTACGATGCTCCACTGCCTTGTGGATCAGACCTTTGGATCAAAGGCTTGCGGTGTGGCCTCCTAAGAAAACCACCTGTTTCGGTTTGGGCACCTGGACAGTATCACAGCCCTCACACAATAAAATGAAATAACCATTTTTTGTGTGGCGCATATATATCTGGTGTGTTTAAATAAAATAAATTTTGATGATAAATCCGGTCTTGAAAAACAAATCAATCAGGTAGTGAATGTACATTCTGTTCATTATTTGCAGTATTGACTTGTATAAGTTACTACTTTCTTACATCCATATTTTGTGACAGCTGACAAGCGAATGCCTAGTACAGTGTAGATTTGTGTTCATGAATACATGACAAACTGTCATATATATATATATATATATATATATATATATATATATATATATATTACTCGGGCTTCGGTGAATTACTACATTTTTGATTGATTAGCAATGATGGACTAGAAGATGGTAGGAGATTCTTATTCAAATTCTAGACAAACCCTAATGTTTTTACTATTGTATATTTTCAGAAGGGGTTTTGATGATATTATAGTAATTTTAATGGTTGAAATCATGAGCTAATTGAAGCTAGACCTCCATGTAAAACCTGGATGCGCACTACTGAGGAGTCCCATAATGGGACGGAACGTCCGTCCGGTGATCCAGGTTTTCCATAGTGGTCTAGTCTCAATTGATTCATGATCTCAACTAGTAAAATTATTGTATATTTGTTGTTTTGATTTGTCAGAGTATATCTTTCGTTCTCCACCAAAACGTCTGTTAGGATATAGCAAGAGTAGAGTAAAGTGTCATGGCCACGAAATATTATGTAAAACGTATTATAGTAGGCATATAAAGTTAGAGAAAGGTAGGAGTTAAAATGGCGACTTATTGTTTGAGGGAAAAATTCCACTTACGAATACATAAAGATATGATGGCAGTAAGGTGTTTACCACGCATAGCCAGCACCTGAAACAACGGTGCCTTCACAGAATCGAAAGGAGTTAGAAAACGTCGACATTAAGAACTGCAGGCCTCTCTTGGGTTTAAAGGTTGCCATCACTTGCGGTGAGGTTTATAAAATATAGGGCTTATATATCAATAACTACTCATACAGAAAACGTATGTGATTGGCCTCAAGATGATGTGTGTTGAGGTCTGTGGTTAAGTTCTCAGTCTGCTATGGCCACTAGTAGACTTGTTTTTGTTACGAGTACCTTAAGTAAAAGGGTCCTTAGACAATAATGACACTAGGAAGCGATAACTACCTACATACCATTAAAATCACTCAATTATACTCAATACAAAATTTTGCTACGAAACCGTTCTGCTATATATATCTGCGAATAAATTCATAGGAATGAAAAGCTGTAAACTATGTGAATACGTATATCTCACTTTGTGTCCTGTGTGTGGTTTCAGAAGTATTATTATTATTACTATTACTATTATTATTATTATTAATATTCAGTAGAGATCTGGATGATGGTCTGCCTAGAGGAGGTTTTTCATAGCCACATTTATTTATCTGTAAAAGAAAAAGAAACGACAGAAAGACGTTTCAATAAATAAACAAACCAATGAAATAAATAGTTTAAAAGAATTAAATAATATCCAAGTCTATATGAATGAAATACAGACTTGGCCAATAATTTCTCATCAGTTCCTATGGTTACAAGTCCAAATAAACTATTCGAAAGTAAATACCAAATTTAAAGCAAATATATGATTTTAGAATCATTTTATATGAATTCAGGATTGTTTGTAAAACAATTGTTCGTTTGGTAAGCAAAGATGGATAGTGGCTAGCAGTGGAATCCAGTTTGACGCGCGTTTCGTTCTATTTGGGACTCGTCAGCTAGATGTACCTGCATCTCAGAGTTGATGTTCACTCTGGTACTCGAATCCAGTATCTTTCGCTTCAGACGCCATAGCGTTATCCACTCGGCCATTGAATCCTGATATCCACTTGCTTGTGTAATGGGGTGAAGTTGAAATTTACTTAGTATTGTTTGTTTAGATCTTCCCATTGATGTTTTTAGGACTGCAACTGGTCAGTCTCTAATGCTTGTGAATTCAGGCTATATCGAGGCAATACGCACAGTATGCACATATGCAAATAAGAGACTGACCAGTTGCAGTCCTAAAAACATCAATGGGAAGATCCAAACAATCAATACTAAGTAAAATTGTTCGTTTGTTTTTAGTTTAACTGACTAGCATATAATATTGAGTCAGTCTATAGGTTGATTAACATGATGAGAATTATAATGTGAGCAAAGGTAGATAATAGAAATAAGAATCTAATTATATACCATACCAACTATTTGATCTAAGATGCAACAGTACAACATAGGAAGCATTTATTATTAAACATGTATACTATAGATTTCAAAAGATGAGGTCACTTTTGTTTTAGGTTTGCGTAGTTTGATGAATTTTCTAATGTTCATCGCGTACCGACGTTTTCTCCTTGGTGAGATTGTAAATGCACAATTCCATTGAAGAGTTCATTGCTAGGACGAAATAACTGTTCAGTGTTTAATGGTACCCAATAGTTTATCCAACTGTGCGAATATTATTTAATATCACGAATGGACCAATTTTAGACCACCGTTGAAAACCTGGGAGAAATGGACGATGGCTTTGTTCTATTATGGGACTCCTAAGCAGTAAGTATCCACAATCCCACATGCGTGACTCGAACCCAAGACCTTCTGTCATGTACAACCGCTTAACCTGTTGATCACTGAGCCTGGCAAATATTGTGCAAGAACTGTAATTAATTTAACTATTTAAAACTTGTTTGAAATTTTAAATGTTGGCTGTATATGTGCTCACACGCTATCATAAAAAGGTTACAAACTATTGCAATACTAGATACCGGTAGACTCAAACGGAAACGTTGCAGTTAAACTTTGATAAAAACAAGAGATAAATATATTCAAGCTGAAGCATGTACATGATGTTTAACATAGATGCAATTCAATTGGTTGGAGTTAGTCAACAGGAAACACTATATTAGTTTTGATTGAATGAAAGTTAGCACTCTTTAATTAGGCTTATCTACAATCTTGAAGAAAGTAAAAGCTTTTGGGCTAACTAAACCATGCCCATGGTATAAATAACTCAGTGGTAATATCTCAGACAATGAACCTGGGTGACGTAGGTTTTAATCCTCAAATAAGCATCAGTTCTATCAAGATATCAAACTAGCTTTGCTGGCAAGAGCTAACTAACATCAAACCTTGACCTTGATGTTGACCACTTCCCTAACTTGGAATCCGGAAGGGAAGCGGAAAAGAGGAAAGCCAAAGAACACATTACGCCGGGCAATAGAAGCAGATATGAAAAGGATGAATAGCAACTGGAAAGAACTGGAAAGGAAGGCTCAGGACAGAGTTAGATGGAGAATGCTGATGAGCGGCCTATGCTCCTCGACGAGGGGTAACAGGCGTAAGTAAGTTAGTAAGTAAGTTCTAATATAGTAAACCTGATATCTATTCACCTAGACTAGTGTTTATATGACTACCTATCAGGCATTAGATCATTGATAGAAAACTAGGCAAACATGACATTGGTAACTAAGTATTGATCAAACAGTTGTAAGAGTTAAGGAAATTTGAATATACTTCCTTTGTAACCTTTGAGTAAATGGTAAGTTACTTTATGTATAACATTTCTAGATAGAACTTTTAATTGAAATATAGAATATTGACTTTTATATAAGAATTTATAGTAGTTTCTCATGAATACGTTAATGAAGCCTGATCATTTTTGTTTGGATATTTATCTTCTGAAAAAAACAAAACAAAAAGAAAAGAAACCAGACCCCCATTGCCATATTGACAAGATAGTGATTCATCAATTTGAATAATGCTCGTTTGTAGATCTTCCTTTTTTCCCCAGAGAACATCCCATTCTATAGCTCATAATTATGATAATAATAATAATAACAATAATTGGTCTGAAAGTTGACTGATATTGAGATAGCATGCTTAAATTATTGATTTCCTAATTAGAGCAATGATAATACCGAATGTTTACGTCTTTTTCAAAGAGAGATATATCAGTGAATTGATATTATACAAATAAATTTCTTCCTTGGATTCCACTGCTAGCCACTATCCATCTTTGCATACAATGCTTGTGAATTAAGGCAATATCGAGGCAATACACACAGTATGCACATATGTCAATTAGAGACTGACCAGTTGCAGTCCTAACACATCAGTGGGAAGATTTGAAAAAAAACAATACTAAGTGAATTTAAACTTTACCCCGTTGCACAAGCAAGTGGATATCAGGACTCAGTAGCTGAGTGGGTAACATGATGGCGTTTGAAGCGAAAGATACTGGGTTCGAGTACCAGAGTGAACATCAACTCTGAGATGCAGGCACATCTAGCTGAAGAGTCCCAAATAGGACGAAATGCTCGTCATGGATTTCACTGCTAGTCACTATCCATCTTTGCTTCTTCGTTGTTCAGTTTTATCTTCAAGTTTATTCTGATATTATAATTCAATTTGTAGTTTGTTTTTTTGTTTTGAAAGTGGCATTTCCATGGTGATAAATATTAGATTTTTTCCTATAATTATGTTGTTTATCTCGTTATATATGTGTTCATAATTAGTATAAGATCTCAGAATGAATTCAAATAGGTCTCTTGGTCTTTGTCAACTTACGTTACATGTTGAATAGGTGACTACATAAAAACAGAACATCATTCCATGGAATTATTGAGCTTCGTTTGCGGATGAGTACTATCTGGTTAGGGGATTAATAGTTATCACAGTCAACTGTTAGAGATGTTTTATGGCATCGGTCTGAATCAGTTGAAATGATGCAGACCTATTCACTTTTCGTCTTATCTTAGATGGTGAGTTGTAGAAATTTCCTGTTCGTTTATATTCCGCAGATTAATTCTTTTTTTTTTAGGATTGTATTATTAATGAATAATTGCTGATACTGTCACTTCTTTCACTATCTTGGCATTTATTTTGATAATTTCATCTCACTGTACTGACATAGTTTAGCAACTTGAACTGATACATGTACATGCCAAGTTCTATGTTGTTTATGACTGACCGACTAACTGTGATTTCGTAAACTCTACATTAAAACAGTTCTCAATAATAAAGAGGATTAATAAAGTGGATTTACTATAAAAATAACTTAATCAATTATTTAGCTAGTTGGTAAGTTTATATTTTACTAAAGAAATGTATGAGAAGTTTCAGGTCTCTTTGTACTTAACCTTTCTCTTAACTCAGTTTGTTCACTGAAACTCAGATGGCCAGCAATAAGCAAAATAAAACTGGTACATTGAACTAATCAGATGTAGGCTAAATGATAAACGAGAGATGCTGATAAATGAACGTTACTGGTTGGTTATACTTTCTAGAATAATCGACACTCACTATTGGTTGAAAATGTGGTCCGATTTTTTGAGAGATATGTGTTTATATTTATGAATATGTTGTGTGTTTAATCTGGATATGCTTAGTCCAAAAAATCTTCCTATTCACCAAAGGTTTTCACATTCAAGTAACTTGTTTGTGCACATATGTAGGTAGCTTATATTATCACTATCAGTACTCGGACGAGCTCAGATTATGACAGTAATATATGTTATAAATAAGAAAAATCTTTCGTAACTGAACAGAAAACTAATGATTGTGCATTGACTGAATGAAAGTAGGTCTAATTTGTTCAAAACAATCCGAATAGTTTCTTCTTAATACTAGTAAAGTTAATTGTTATAACTTGTGGCTTTATGCCTTATCAATATATAACGTAATGATACCGCCAATTAGAGAACAGTGACTTGTCTACCGTACCAATAACGTGTATATTTTTACGAGCAGTCTAGAGTCTTCATTAGTTCTTCTTCCTACGTAGCCCTGCATGTTAAGTCAATATTTTCTAATTGGCGGTATCATTACGTTATATATTAATAGGGTACAAAGCCACAAGTTAAAACATTAATATTATTTTAACTCCCTCATATTCGTTTAAACTATTCATTGAACCACTGATAGTTTAAAACAATAAGCAAATGAAATGTGAAAATTGAATATTCTAAATAAAATATATAGATTAGCCATTACATTATTTGAAACAGTTTAGGTTTTTAAACCGTAATATTTACTAATTAATGATGGATCTAGTTTATAATTATGTTAAGCAAAGATGGATAGTGACTAGTAGTAGAATCCAGTACGCGCATTTCGTCCTATTTGGGACTCGTCAGCTGGATGTACCTGCATCTCAGAGTTGATGTTCACTCTGGGACTCGAACCCAGTATCTTTCGATTCAAATGCCATCGCGTTATCCACTCGGCCAGGACGAAACGAGAGTCCTGGATTCCATTGCTAGCCACTATCCATCTTTGCTTACTATGCTTGTGAATTAAGGCTATATCGAGGCAATACGCACAGTATGCACATATGTCAATTAGAGAGTGACCAGTTGCAGTCCTAACACATCGATGGGAAGATTCAAACAAAAAATACCAAATGAATTTA